GACGCTTTGATTGCTAAAATTTTGCCCCGCATAGCGCCCAAAAACCCGCTCAGCGGCCTTCGTCCGAGACGCGTCCAATGTGCGGCCTGAGCCAGCCTCATATGTTCCGCCGGTGGCATTGTTTACCAGCCAGCCTCCGCGGTAACATTCAAGCATACAATCGGAATATTTCGTATTATTACAGTGTTTTCGGTGCTGTTTCTGGAAAATAAGTGACCATGGGCCCCAGAAAGCTTCTAGTTCCAACCCTACAGCAATAAGGGTTAGAATTCCTATAGAAAGAAGAAAGAGATCATTGATAAGTATGAAAGTGGAGTGCGTATCACCGACCTGGTCAGGTTGTACAAGAAACCCAAATCAACCATCTCTTCTATTGTGGCCAAGAAAACGGCAATCAAGGAAGCTGTTCTTGCCAAAGGTTTAACTGTGTGTTTTCGAAACAAAGATCGCAAGTGATGGAAGATGTTGAGAGACTCTTATTGGTGTGGATAAATGAAAAAACAGCTAGCAGGAGATAGCGTCTCTCAAGCGATCATATGTGAAAAGGATAGGAAGTTGCATGAGGATTTAATTAAAAAATGCCTGCAACTAGTGATGATGTGAGTGAATTTAAGGCCAGCAAAGGTTGGTTTGAGAGATTTAAGAAGCGTAGTGGCATCCATAGTGTGATAAGGCATGGTGAGGCTGCCAGTTCGGACCACAAAGCGGCTGAAAAAATATGTGCAGGAATTCAAGGAGTACATAGAAACTGAAGGACTGAAACCTGAACAGTGTTTAATTGTGATGAAACAGGCCTGTTCTGGAAGAAAATGCCAAGCAGGACCTACATTACTCAGGAGGAAAAGGCACTCCCAGGACATAAGCCTATGAAAGACAGGCTTACTTTGTTGATGTGTGCCAATGCTAGTGGTGATTGCAAAGTTAAGCCTTTATTAGTGTATCACTCTGAAACTCCCAGAGCGTTCAGGCAAAAGAATGTCCTCAAGGATAATTTGTGTGTGCTGTGGAGATCAAACAGTAAGGCATGGGTCACTAGGGACTTTTTCTATAACTGGTTACACCATGCATTTGCCCCCAATGTCAAAGATTACCTAACTGAAAAGAAATTAGAACTTAAGTGCCTCCTGGTGTTTAGACAATGCCCTGGTCATCCTACAGACGATGGCAGAGCGACTTTATGGGGACATGAGCTTCATTAAGGTGAAGTTTTTGCCTCCTAATTACCACTCCTCTCCTGCAGCCCATGGACCAGCAGGTCATTTCCAACTTCAAGAAACTGTACACAAAAGCTGTTTCAAAAGTGCTTTGAAGTGACCACAGACACTCGATTGACTCTAAAAGAGTTTTGGAAGGATCACTTTAATATCCTCAATTGTGTAAACCTTATAGGTAAGGCTTGGGAGGGAGTGACTAAGAGAACCTTGAACTCTGCTTGGAAGAAACTGTGGCCAGAATGTGTAGACAAAAGGGATTTTGAAGGGTTTGAGGCTAACCCTGAGAGGAGTATACCAGTTGAGGAATCAATTGTGGCATTGGGGAAGTCCTTGGGGTTGGAGGTTAGTGGGGATGATGTGGAAGAGTTGGTGGAGGAGGACAATGAAGAACTAACCACTGATGAGCTGATAGATCAACTTCAAGAGCAAGAGGCCAGACCTGCGGAAACTGGTTCAAAGGAGGGGAGAGAGAAATTGAAGGAATTCCCTACTTCAAAGATTAAGGAATGTGTGCAAAATGGCTTGAAGTGCAAACCTTTTTGATGAAAATCACCCTCACACAGCTATTGCAAGCCGTGCTGGTGACTGTTACAATGACAATGTTGTGAACCACTTTAGACAAATCATAAAGGAACGAGAGGTACAGGCCACTATGGACAGATATGTTGTGCGAAAGAAGTCCAGTGACTCTGAAGCTGGTCCTAGTGGCATTAAAAGAAGAAGGGAAGTACACCCGAAAAGGACTTGCCTCCTCAAGTCTTAATGGAAGGGGATTCCCCTTCTAAACACTAACACTCTCTCTCCCCTCCTCCCATCCCATCAATCATCACCAGATCTTCAATAAAAGTAAGTGTCATGTAATTGTGCATGCCTTTTTCAGTTTGTGTGTACTAAAATTAACATTTTTTTGTGGTAAAAAAAATTTTTTTTCATACTTTTGGGTGTCTTGCACGGATTAATTTTATTTCCATTATTTCTTTTGGGGAAAATTCATTCACATAGCGAACATTTCGCATAACAGCCAGCCCTCTTGCACGGATTAAGGTCGCTATGCGGGGGTCCACTGTATATATGTATATATGTATGTATATATGTATATATGTATGTATGTATGTATGTATGTATGTATGTATGTATGAATATATAATATAATATATATATATAATATATATATATATATATATATATATATATATTATATATATATAATATATATATAATATAAATATATATATATATATATATATATATATATATATATATATATATATATTATATATTATATATATATATAATAATATATATATTATATATATATATATTATATATATATATAGAGGGGTGTTTAATGTTGCAGTTTTAAAAACTGTTGTGTAAGCACCCTTCTGGCAAGACAGTGATGGAGTGAATGATGGTGAAAGTTTTTCTTTTTCGGGCCACCCTGCCTTGGTGGGAATCGGCCAGTGATAATAAAATATATATATATATATATATATATATATATATATATATATATATTACCTTAAAATGCCAGTTACTACTATAAAAACTGCTTAATTTCTGGTAGTAAAGCTAATCTTTCATTTCAAGTGTTGTACAAGGCTACAGCTGCTGAAAAAGGCAAGGGTGAAAAAAAGGTGCCATAATGTGTTAAGGGGAAACTGACCATTCTCCCTGTGCTTTGCCTAGCTATGCCACTATGTTAGTGATGTACATACAGTGGACCCCCGGTTCGCGAAGTCACCGGTAACCGATAAATCCGGTATCCGAAGTGTTATATCGCCAAAAAATTGCCCCGGTTCCCGTAACAAAACCCGGTACACGATACGATTCATACGAGATGTGTCCACATGTGGCCTGAGCTGCCCGTGTGCACCTGTGTTTACAAGCCAGCCAGTGTGCGTGCATCTAAGGATACATTTGGTTACATTCCATATTATCCATATTATCACTGTTTCTGGTGCTTGTTTCTGCAAAATAAGTCACCATGGACCCCAAGAAAGCTTCTAGTGCCAACCCTTCGAGACCAAGGGTGCTAATGACTATTGAAATGAAGAAAGAGATAATAGAAAACATGCTTCGGAGGAGGGGATGGAGAAAGTGAGGAAGTTGCCTACTTCAAAGATTAAGGAAATGTGTGCAAAGTAGCTTGAAGTGCAAACCTTTTTTGATGAAAATCACCTGACACAGCTACTGCAAGCCGTGTTGGCAACCTGTACACTGACAATGTTGTGAACCACTTTAGGAAAGTCATAAAGGAACGAGGGGTACAGGTCTTTATGGACAGAGATGTTGTGCGACAGAAGTCCAGTGACTCTCAAGCTGGTCCTAGTGGCATTAAAAGAAGAAGGAAGTAACCCCGGAAAAGGACTGGCTACCTCAAGTCCTAATGGAGGGGGATTCCCCTTCTAAAAATTAAAAACTTTGACACTCTCCCTCCTCCCATCCCATCAATCATCACCAGATCTTCATTAAAGGTAAGTGTCAATTATTCTATTGTGTTATTCTATTTTTATTATTGCTATTGTAATTATTCTATTGCATTAAAACTTAATATTTCATGTGGTAAAAGTTTTTTTTCATACTTTTGGGTGTCTTGCACGGAGTTAATTTGATTTCCATTATTTCTTATGGGGAAAATTGATTCGCTTTCCGATAATTTTGCTTTACAATGAACTCTCAGGAACGGATTAATGACGTGAACCGGGGGTCCACTGTATTTGTCTTACTACGTTGAGCTGACTATTTGTCTTTACTCATGTAAGTCATGTCTTCTTAATCACTGTATTTTCAAAACCCTTTGGGACTGCTACCTAAAATATCCACTGAAAAACATGCAAAGGAAGATTTGCATGAACTGCCAGTAATGTGCCAAATTTACAAATCATCTTCAAATGTGGCAAATATTAGTTAGTTGTTGGAGTGGGAGCAAGGTAATATTTTGTGAAGGGATTCAGGGAAACCAGTTAGCTGAACTTGAATCCTGGAAATGGGAAGTACAATGCCTGCACTTTTAAGGAGGGATTTAGGATATTGGCAGTTTGGAGGGACATCTATACTGTCATATCTGAGTGCCTCTGCAAAGACAATGATCATGAATGAGTAATGGTGAAATTGTTGAATGACAAAAGATTTTTCTTTCTTTCATTTTGGGTCACCCTGCCTCGGTGGGAAACAGCTGACAGAAAAGTTGGAGGGACGGGGTAAAGGAGGTTTTGTATACAAGGGGCTTGGACCTCCAGCAAACATGCACGAGTGTATTTTATAGGAGTGAATGGAGACAAATGGTTTTTAGAACTTGATGTGCTGTTGGACTGCGAGCAGGGTAACTTTTATGAAGGGATTCTGGGAAACCGCAGGCCGGACTTTAGTCCTGGAGGTGGGAAGTACAGTGTCTGCACTCTAAAGGAGGGGTGTCAATGTTACAGTTTTATAACTGTAGTGTAAAGCACGCCTCTGGCAAGACAGTGATGGAATGAATGATGATGAAAGTTTTTCTTTTTCGGGCCACCCTGCGTTGGTAGGAAATGGCCGAGGTGTTAACATATAATACATGTATAAAAAATTATAGTCAACACTGGATTAGTCTGCATACAGAGAAATAAAAGACCTCCAGTATGAACTGGGATAAATCATGGAGGATCAAGTAACCAAGGCTCAAAGTATACATATTACTAAGCAGAAATAACATATTGCTAAGAAAAATAATGAATAATAAACCAGTACAGTGAATAAATGCATAGTATAAAATAATAAAGCAAATGCATGAAAGAAGTCAGATTTTACCTGGTGACAAGTACCGTGGTAGGGCAGCGTCGCTCAATAAGTTTAACTCCAGCTTCGGGGTCCTCGTAAAGAAATTCTTCAACTACACTCACAAAAGATTGACAGGAGCTGCCACTAGAGCACACAGTCTTAATTGGTGAGGACTTCAGTGACAATGGTGGTAGAAGTTGAGCAGAAGCTTGAGGTTTCTGGGTTAATGTTATACCAGCTAGTTTATCAACATTATTGCTGTCATCAGAAGAGAATGAGTCTTTATATAATTCCTCAACTTGTTTTGTAAAGTTTTTCAGGGAAGATGAATACTTTTTTTTTTTTGATATTTTTTTCTTTTTAGGTGCTTTGATAAGTGTTACCGTAGTATATGCTTCTGGTATAAGAATATTTTCAGGTGCTGTCACATCAGGAAATACTTCCTTATGAAACTCTTTATTATCACCTAGTATTTTTGTGGGAAGATTACTCGACATCATCTGACTTTTCTTTTCGTGGTCCATAAAAGTTTTGTTGGTTGGATGCACTGTTGTATTGTTTAATGTGTAAACAAATTCATTTTTGTGTATTTCTGTATTTTCTTCTATGTCTTGCAGTGAATTTGATATCATTTGTCCATCAGGAAAAAACAGGTTGTTTTTAGGTGGCATGTAAGTTCCATTAAGATGCTGATTTCCATCTTCACTATTGCATCAAGAGTGATATCAATAGTCAAATGAGCAATGTCAAATTCACTGGGAGGATCAGTAAACGATTCTAACTCCTGAGCAGAGTCAAAGATTCATGAAATGTTATTAGTACCATGTTTTATTTTATTCCCGAGACATCTACGTAATGACCTCATGTCATTGTCACTGTCACTGTCTGTGTAACATGCCTCAACCTTCTGTTTTAAATATTGAAGAAAATTATTATTATTAATCCAAGGTGGAATGTAATCACTACTGAAATTCACATCCTGGACTTGAGAAACTTTATCCGTCTCACTTATACGAGTCGTATTATATCTGATGAAAAAGGATTCCTGGGACAATGATTCATCACTGGAGATCCAGTGGTTCATAACTTTTGAATCTTCTTTGGTGGGTGATGATGGACGGTGTCTGTGTTCTTCCTGACAATGAAGAAAAATAGAACTGTAAAACATTTAATACCAAATATGTCTTGCCAAACCCAAAGCATAATTAAATCCCAAATATTTTGAAAGCTGAATATATATACTTTTGCAGAGGGAAAGAGGTACCCAGGAGGTCTATCTGGAATAAAGTACACAGATTATTCACAATGATACTCACTTTTACAGTCCAAATAAGCCCTTCATTCAGTAACATGTCTCCACCTCAAATAACATGTCAATGTATACCAGACTGACAACTAGGAGCTCAACAGCTTTGAGCCCTTCGTGCATTGTTGTATATAACAATTTCACCTTTGCTCTATAAATGGTTCCTCAGCTTTGCAATTTGTTTTGCAATTAGTGAGGGTTTGTGCAGGGGCATGGATCCTTTCTGAGCATTTTGTGTGGGATGGATTCCAAAATCGTTTGTCAGTGGACCCTGCACCCATTTCGTCCCCAGGGAGCTCCTGCCACTTCTTCAGATTGAAGCACTGGGGCTGGATGGGTTCCTTAGGTTCTGGGTTATTTCTGGGGACAAGTCCTAATTTCTTGCCCATTTTTGGTGGCTGATACTGTAACCAGCAGCTTGACAAATTTACTGTTCAACAGGTTGCTGATGTCAGCAGCTCTTTAGATGTTGTGCACTGCTACAGTCTGCCAGTCCCAGCCCTCCTTGTCTGGTGCTGGGGATTGCAAATGCATCAGTGCTTTCTATTGGGAGCATGGACCTCTCGTGCCTTTAGTGTCCCAATTTACACCTCACATTTGCCCATTTCATGGCCAGCAGGATCTTCACTCCAAGGGACCTCTTCTGGGACTTCCCTAACCTAGGGATAAGGGAGTTGGTTTCCTATCCACTGGTAAGTGTAGGGGGATATTCAGCACTCTGTAGCAAGTGGGGTGAGGGTATGGGGGCTGTGTGGCAATCCATGGCAAGTGGAATGGGTAAAAGGTTCATAAGCCATACATGAAAAGGGAAGTATGGGTCACTTAGTGCTGTATGGTAAAAAGAAGGCGAATTGTCAAGAGTGAAGAAGCAGCTGAGTACAAAGAGCAATTACAATATGAACACTGAAGAGGAAATTCAAAATGAGTGTAGTAAATAATTTGCAAGAAGACAGTAACAGAATCTGTAGCAAAAGGATGGACTTTGCAAGAGTGTAAAAATAACTACAGTGTAGTGGACCACCGGTTATTGGCCATAATCCGTTCCAGAAGGTTGGCCTAAATCCGAAATGGCCTAAAACCGAAGTAATATTTTGCAAAAGAAATAATGTAAATCCAATTAATCCGTTCCAGACACCCAAAAATATTAACGAAAAATACATTTTTTAAATCTATAGTTTTACATACAGAAAACAATGAGAAAGAAATATAAAGCAGAAATTTTAATAATAAATGAACATTACATACCTTTATTGAAGACTTGTTGGCATATGGAAGAAGGTGAGGAGGGGAGAGGGATGGAAATAAATGGTATAAAATACCGACACAGTGGAAATATACACACATATGCAGTATACGTAATGTGATCCTTTACTGACAACGTTTCGCCCACACATTGGGCTTTTTCAAGTCACAAACAGATCTACCTGGGGTGGAAGGTACTTGAGTATTTATAGTCAGGTTCAGAATGCTGTGGTCAGTGGAGAATGCTGCATCTGATGATCTACCGAGTGGGTTATAGTCTAAAATCTTGGGTAGCTTGGAAGGCAGATTGGATAAGTTTGTGAGCAGATCTTCTGCAGTGTTCCTCCATTCTAATGCTCTTATGTGGGATAGCAATGAAGAAGTTTCTTGGCAACTTGCCAAGAAACTTCATCGCTATCCCACATCATTATCTGTTTGTGACTTGAAAAAGCCCGCTGTGTGGGTGAATTGTTGTCAATAAAGGATCACATTATACTGCATATGAGGGGAGAGGGAGTTGGGGATATTGTTTGGAAGGGGAATCCCCCTCCATAAGGAGGGGGGTTACTTCCCTTCTTTGTTTTTTACTGGCACTAGGACCACCTCGAGCGTCACCGTATTCCTGTCGCACAAAAAATCTGTCCAGAGAGGTCTGTTTCTGACGTCTCTGTAAAATTTGCCTAAAATGGGACAAGACTGTTATTGAACATGCTGCAGACATGGCTTGCAACAGTTTTGTCAGGGTGATAATTTTCTGCAAAGCTTTGCACCTCACTCCACTTTGCACAAATGTCCTTAATCACTGAAGAAGGCACATTCTCCCCTCCCCTCCCTTCTTCCTCTAAAACAATATCCTCAGCTGCAGTCTGTTGCTGTTCCAGTTGAAGGTGTTGCAGCTCTTCAGTGGTTAGCTCTTCAATGGTTAGCTCTTCCCTGTGGTCGTCCACCAACTCTTCCACATTCTGGCCACTCACATCCAGCCCCATGAACTTCCCAATGAAACAATAGATTCCACAATAGGCGTAGGGTCGTCAGGATCAGCCTCAAACCCTTCAAAATCCTTGTCGAGGACATATTCTGGCCACAGTTTTCTCCAAGCAGAGTTCAAAGTCCTGGAAGTCACTCCCTGCCTTATCTATAAGGCTTATGCAATGGAGGATAATGAAGTGATTCCTCCAGAACTCTCTTAGGGTCAATTCAGTGTCCGAGGTCACTTCAAAGCACCTTTGAAACATTGCTTTGGTGTACAGTTTTTTGAAGTTTGAAATGACCTGCTGGTCCATGGGCTGGATGAGAGAAGCAGTATTAAGGGGCTGAAACTTCACTATGATGAACTTACACTCCTCAAAACAATAAGTCTTCAAGTCTGGAGGATGAGCAGGAGCATTGTCCATTACCATGGAGGCACTTGAGTGACAATTTATTTTCCAGGAGGTATTTCTTCACACTCGGACCAAACAATTCATTGGCCACTCAATGAAAATTAGCCTCGTGACCCATGCCTTATTGTTTGCCTTCCACATCACACAATTTACTCTTCGTGACATTATTGTTCTTGAACACTGGGATTTTCAGAGTGATACACACATAAAGGCTTCACTTTGAAATCTCCACTAGCATTACCACAGAACAAAAGAGTTAGCCTATCCTTCACAGGCTTGTGTCCTGGCAGCGCCTTTTTCCTCCTGCGTGATGGAGGTCCTCTGGCATTTTCTTCCAAAAGAGGCTTGTTTTACAACAACTGAACACTTGCTGGGGGAGGAATCCTTCAGCCTCTACGTAATCCTTGAATTCATGCACGAATTTTTCAGCTGCACATTTGTCTGAACTTGCAGCCTCACCATGCCTTACAACACTGTATGCCACTACGTTTCTTGAATCTGTCGAACCAGTCTTCGCTGGCTTTAAATTCACTAACAGCAGCACTCGTTCCCGGCATTTTCTTTACAAGATCCGCATGCAACTGCGTTGCCTTCTCGCAAATTATTCCCTCCGAAACACTATCTCCTGCTAATTGTTTTGGTCGATCCACACCAACAACAACAACTCCACATCCTCGATAGTTTGAGACCTCTGTTTTGTTAGTATATTTACACCTTTCACAACATCAGCTTCCTTGATTTCTGCTTTCTTCAACAGGATGGAACTGATTGTTGTTGTAGATTTCCCATAAATCCTGGCCAGCTCTGCCACACGTACGCCACTTTCATATTCTGCGATAACTTCTTTCTTGAATTCTAACGTGTTTCTCACCTTCTTTACCAAAGGGGTGGCACTCTGAACTTTCTTTGGCCCCCATGGTGGCTTATTTCACAGTTGCAATCAATAAACAAGTACCAAAAACAATGGATGAACATGCAGAGTGTTCCTACCCCAACGAGAGAGGCGTGCAGACTGAGTGTTATACGTGTGAGGGAGTGCGTCGCCGGTGGGTGGACATGTCTCATACCAACGATTTCCAAGCAGATGGCCTATACCTAGGGAGGGAGGGGGGTAATTTCGCCGAAAAAAGTGCTCGATTTGTGAACTGGCCAACTTTCACACCGGCCTATGTCCGGGGGTCCACTGTACAGTGGACCCCTACCTTACGATATTAATCCGTTCCTGAGAGCTCATCGTAAGCCGAAATTATCGTTTAACCGAATTAATTTTCCCCATAAGAAATAATGGAAATCAAATTAATCCGTTCCCGACACCCCAAAGTATGAAAATTTTTTTTTTTTTTTACCACATGAAATATTAATTTTAATACACACAAACTGAAGAAGACATGCACAATTACTACTCTACTAAGAATAGAATGCATGATACTTACCTTTATTTAAGCCCTTTGGTGATGATTACTGGGATGGGAGGAGGGGAGAGTGTGGAAGTTGTTTAAAAGGGGGAATCCCCTTCCATTAGGACTTGAGGTAGCAAGTCCTTTTCGGGTTACTTCCCTTCTTTTAATGCCACTAGGACCTGCTTGAGAGTCACTGGACCTCTGTCGCACAACAAATCTGTCCATAGAGCTCTGTACCTCCGTTCCTTTAAGACTTTCCTAAAATGGGCCATAACATTGTTATTGTACAGGTTGCCAACATGGCTTGTAGTAGCTGTGTCAGGATGATTTTTATCCATAAAGGTTTGCACACATTCCTTAATCTCTTTATTCAATTCCATACTAATTCTCGCCCTTTTTACCACAGGGATGGCACTAGAAGCTTTCTTGGGGTCTATGGTGACTTATTTTGCAGTTACAAGCACTAAAAACACTGGGATAATGTGAAATGTACCAAATGTATGCATAGATGAGACCACACTGGCTGGCTTGTAAACACTGACGCTGAGGCCACATGTGGGACACGTCCTGGACAAATCACGTAAGGCGAGATTTTTATCGTGAGGCGAGGCAAAATTTTTGCGTTCAAATGCTTCGTATGATGGATTTAACGTAACGCGATGTGTTCGTAAGGTGGGGGTCCACTGTATATGTATCTGTATTTATGCTCTCTAAAGATGTTGGACTGTCAGAGTGAACTATCATGTCTAGTAATGAGAGAAGAGTCTACGAGCACTACACAAAGTCAGGGCCAACATTTTCT